CTTGACCTAATTGTCCCCTATAAATAGAATAAGCCCCCCCTCCTTGATGGGGCATCTTTTTGAACTCAGATCTAAACCCTAGGGACTTCCTCTTAGTCTCTCACCTTTCAACCAGCTTCCATGGCTAAACACACACCCCATACACCAAAGTGGTTCACTCCGACTAGGAGAATCCCATTCATCCTCTATATTGATCTAACTTGCTCGTCGGAGATTGCTTCTAGGGCTTCGGCCCTAGAGAAACTCTAACGATCTGTTGTGGTTCTTTATAGGTATCATGTTGGGAATACGCAGACGACATCCCACTCGGATCTCTGACCCATATCCAAGGCCCAAGACCCAAAGGCTTGGCGATATGTCACAACAGTTGACTACAGTCCCAGTTTAATGTCATGTCGACCACAACTAACAGCTCTCACCGCCAAATGATGGGTGTTAAGCACCTCTTAACAACTCATGCAAGGTAACCATGAGTCTAACTTCTAAAAATAGAAATTTAACTAAAAGTCAACACGCACCAAAAGTCAACGGTCAAATTCAACACCTAACGTTAACTTTAGTCAACCACCACGTCATGGATTTCCTTGGTTATGTCGTAGCTCTTATACGACCAATAGACAGGAATTTCCCAGCCGTGGCGACCTATGGCTACATCGTGGGAGTTGATTCGAGAATGACATCTTTAAACGGTCCAACATTGCAAACCATGCGCCACACCTGTTGATACCAATTCCAAGCTCAGTGCAACCACTGGTAACCCGTTGCAAGATGTTTCCTTGTACCGTAACCTTGTTGGGGCCCTCCTGTACTTGACATTCACTCATCCAGACATTTTCTATGGAGTTCAGCAAGTCTGTATCTTTATGCATGCCCCCCCCCCCCCCCAAGAACCACACTTCAACTTTTTAAAATGCATTTGAAGATACCTCAATGGCACAAGTAATCATGATCTTCATATCTCTCCTTCCAAGTCTACCAAACTTACCGCGTCAGATATGGACTGAGGGGATGCCCTAACTCCCGATGCTCCATATCCGTCTATTGTGTAATCATCGGTGACAACCTTGTCTCATGGTCATCCAAACAACAACATACATCTCCAGATCAAATGTTGAAACCGAATATAAAGGGGTCATAATGTAACGACTGAAACCGCATGGCTACATAATCTTCTTCTTGAGCTTCATCTTCCACTACGTCAAGCCACATTTATCTACTATGACAATATTTCTGCCATTTATCTATAACATCCCAAAAATTCAGACAAAAATTTCATTTTTGATGTAACAATTCATACAACAATTTATAGAAAATATCATCAAGTTATCTTATTTCATAAAAACCATAGATAAGATGTCTCAAAATCATGTCATAAGATAGTAGCAATGTCAGAGTACAAATCCCAAGAATCTCATGTGCGGAAAATCATGTGTGAGATGTGATGTTATCATTTCGGTGCCTTTCCCTTTGAAGAAGAAGGACCTGAAACAAAAACTAAAAACCGTAAGCACAGAGCTTAGTGAGTTCCCCCATCATACCACATACCATATAATTACATAATGCCTAGCATATCTGGGTGTTGGCCTCCCCTTCGGTCTCTTTCTACCGGTAACTGTCTAGCATATATGGGTTTTGGCCTCTCTTTCGATCGCTTTCAACCAGTAGCTGCCTAGCATATCTAGGTGTTGGCCCCCTTCGGTCTCTTTCAACCGGTAGCTGCCTAGCATATCTGGGTGTTGGCTTCCCCTTGGTCTCTTTCAATCGGTAATTGGGGACTATTTCACCCCTACTACTACCACATAATACCTTAACATAAACATATAAATCATATACAACCTAATATCTGGGTGCTGGCGTCCCCTTCAGTCTCTTTCAACCGGTGACTGGGGACTATTCCAGCCCTACCATTACCACATAATAACTTAGCATACTAGCACATAAAGCATAACAGATAGTGACATACTAGATAATTATCACAAAGACAATCATCTCTACTATAACTCTTACTAGTGGGCCGACATTGGTACCTTCGACTCACTTCTACTGGAAGAAAACTTACCTCATAATTGACAGTTAAATACTGCTACTCACGCTATTAGCCGCACCAAACTACTCCACACCAAATAAATCATGCAATGAAACCCTTAGACTTACCCTCCCTCTCAATAATTGACAAAAAGTCAACTTAGGTCCAATAGTCAACTTTTATATCATTTTGTCCTCACGTCGTGGCCTTCCTTGGCTCACGTTGTGAGAGTCAACTCGTCTTGGGTTGGCACAGCGAGTCAACTCAATTCACTCATTTTAGGGTTTCAGATCCAGGCAAAGCCGTGCTTACGTCATGAGACCATACATCTCACGTCGTGAGAATTGTTCTGTAAGCATTGAGCTCTTGATCCTTTTTGATGCACATTGGGACTTTCAATGGTACCATATCTAGACGAAAGGACCATAAAAATCATATCTTTAGAGGTCATGGATGTCTCATGCATGACTTAAACACTAATTAGGTCAAAAGATGGGTATAAACATCAAGATTCAAACTTGGAGTCCAAAACCTGCACCAAAATCTAGATCCAAAGGTTTTACCACGACAAATAACTTAATGGTCCATAAAGTTGCTAACATTATGGACCTCGTGCATGATAATTCAAGATCTTATGCAAAGAAGGTAACCATAACCTAGATCTAGCAAGGTTAGAAGAGAAAGGTGAGATCTTTGAGACTTATAGAGGTTTATGAGCTCAGAAATGCCACTAGAAGGAGCTTATCTCGTCCAAAGGAACCTCCACCAGAGCTTCTTCTTCTTCTTCTTTAAGGAAATCAACCACTATAACACACCAATACCACCAACAATGGCTCAAGGGCTCAAGAAGGCCGAATTTAAGGTTTTTCAGTAACTTCGGAGTGAAAGAGGTTGAGGATGGGTGATCCTAGCCTCCTCATTCTGTTTTATACTCGATTTTTAGGGTTTGGAACCATCAGGCATGACTCACGTTGTGAGAACTTATACCTCTTGTCGTGAGGTTCGAGAACACGGTTACACGGGTCAAACGATCAATGGTCCTTTCTCACGACGTGAATACTATGGCTCACGTCATCAGCCTCTTCTAAATGCAAAAATTAATATTTTTAATACCTCAGATTCCGAATGCTACATTATCTCACTTAAAACCCGGTTTAACACCAACACACAAAACATGTTGCAATATATATTCACTTTGTTCACAAAAAAGTGTGCATGGGTTCCCTACGTGTCCTCCTTGTTCCTATGAATTACCAATATGCCGATATTTTCACAAACGAATTATCGCGTCACCTGTTCACCCGCTTCCATTTTCAGCCACTCTATCCGACCATATTCGACTGCAAGGGAGTATTTGTGGAAGTATACATGCCATATATTTCAAATTTCTATATTGTGTTTTATGTAATTGTTCTATGTAATTATTGTGTATGATCTGTACCATATTTAGCACAATACGTTTATTAGGCTTTCCTGTCTCTCTTTCTGTAATTCTCTGTAAATATTAAGTGGAATATCAATAAGATAGGCATTGGAATCTCAAACAATTACAACAATTACAAAGATAATTTTCGCGATAATAAAGATGTCAAAGTTATTCACCTTGACAACGATGTGTAATATTACTATTGGCTATTCCAAAATCATCGAATATTACACCCAAACCAAAATTGTTGTTGACTTAATCGGTATTATTGATGTTGGGATGTTGAAAAAGGATCTTGTCATGTGTACACCATCAATGGATTATCTCCTAAGTTCGATTATATAGCAAGTCTAGTCATCCATCAAACTCCTCTTCTAGCATTCATGGAGACATGATTCATGCTTCTTCTTGAAGAACAACATACTGAACCAAATTCATACTCACACCTAGATAATTTGTCATCCCTTACAATCCTTATCGAGCACTTAAATAATATCAATCACAAAAAGTCACTACGTTTTAATTTTTGTTTCAGTTTTGATACCATCATACCATGTCAATATCATTTCAGTCATGCGTCATAAAACAATGTCACACTTGCTGGCAATAGGGTAAGCCTGAAGGATACCGGGAAATGATTAACATTGAATAAAATTGAAAAACACGATGTTCGATTTGAATAAAATAAAACTTAATATTTTTGTGACATTTACTCTAACTTTTTTCTCTTAATAAGCTTAAAAAGTAATGGGATGTTTTGGATTGTTTTTGACTTTAAAAGTTTTTTTTGGACAGTGTTTATTGATTTACGAGGATAGCAAAATAAGTTTTTAAAAAAATATGTGAATTAATTTTTGTAGTGGAAAAAAACTTCATACATTGATTAAAAGGGACATGGAAAAAAATAAGGGAAGAAAATAAGACTAAAATGGTTCAATAAAGGTCGTAGGGTCATTTATAGTTTAAAAAATAAATTCATGGAAACCTATGTGCAAAAACTCCATTTTAAACAAGCATTTATACATTTTTTTTTTTTTTTTTTTTTTTTTTTAAATTAGCTATTTTGAAGTCATTTCAAATATATTTTTTTACTTATTGCTTTTTAAAAATCTGATAATTGAATAATTTATTTTGAAAAAAATCTAAAACATCTTCGAAAGTCATACAACCAAGTTTAATTCTATCTATTCAAAATAAATAAAAGTTTTTTTTTTACAAATTGTCACACTTTCATTTAATTTGTCAAATATCATTTTGTAGTTATTTCGAATTAATTTTTTCACATGTCATTTTATAAGTTTTTTTATTTTTTAAAATTTTACATAATATTTTAATATAATAATTACAATAAATGTAGTAATAAATTGATATCAATATCATTAATAAACTTATATTTTAATTTCAAAATTCTTAAAATTAAAACTTATTAGTTATTTATTTATTTATTTAAATTTAAAAAATAAAAAACATTTTTATTATAATAGTTAATTATTTTTATATTTTCTTAATTTAGATCTTTATATTTAATTTATTTTTTTAAATTAACTAATGCTAGAAGCCAAGCCTCCCTCAACACGGCACACTTCCCCAATTGTACGAAACTCGGCGGATCTTCAGTCTTCACCAACCGGGGCTCCACACCCGGCGCCACTCCCATCTCCTGAGTTGCCGCCGCTTTCTGCTCCACCGCCGATGAACTCTCTTTCTCTCGTTCCTTTTTCCTCCGCCTGCAGCTCTTCTACCCTCCCAAAACTTAAACCTTTGTACACACTTGATTATCACCCTTACATAAACATCAACAAGGTCATCTCTCTCTCTCTCTCTCTCTCTCTCTCTCTCTCTCTCTCTCTCTCTCTCTCTCAGTTTATTTTGTTGTTGGTGGTGCTTGAATTGAGTTCTGAAACCCTAGCTCTGTCCGTGTGTATCCGTTTGAGTTTTTTTTTTTTTTTTTTTTTTTTTTTTTTTTTTTTTTTTTCTATAGAAGCGGAAAATCAGAAATGGAAGATGCAGGGCGGAGTTAATTCACGATGCGCCGTTCGTCATTGCTATGGGCGCGTGTGTGCTCAACTCGTTGGTATTTCCTCTCCCTGTAAGTCCCAACGACGACGAAGATGGTGATTCGGTGATCGATTCAGCTGACGCAAGGTTCGCTGTCATGGGGATTATAAGCTTCATCCCTTACTTCAACTGGATGGTGAGCATTACGACCTTTCTCTTGATTCCGCTGCTTGATTAAGAGTTCATACTCTGTACGTGATATTTTTTTGTGTTTGTTTTTGATGATTGATTGTTGCGTCTTATTGTTTGTAGAGTTGGGTTTTTGCTTGGATGGATACCGGCGATAAACGATATGCTGTATATGCCATCATTTACTTGGCTCCATACTTAAGGTTCTTAAACTTGTCATTTACTCTTTGATTTTGTTGATATTGAATTGAATTGCTTCATATGTTATCGATTGATATTGAGTATTTCATTCCTTTTTTATCAGTAAAGTATCTATATTCTACAAATCCTTTTTGTTGTTATCCATTTTCAGTTGGGATTAAAGATAAGATGAGTACAGATTCAATAACCACGTTGGTTGTGATTGTAGGACAAACTTATCACTGTCACCTGATGAAAGCTGGTTACCTATCGCAAGCATTCTTCTTTGCATTCTTCACATTCAGGTAAAAGCTCTTCAAGCTCATAGTCTCCAATCACCATAACTACATCTCTGACATGTTTATACTGTATAGAGCTGATAATTATACGATTGGCAGTTAGAAGCAAGCATCAAGAATGGAGATCTTCAGGGTTTCCAATTATTTAATGGAGCTTCAAGGAACAAATTTCCAGAGAAAGATGTGAGAATCTCAGAACAGGTATTAACTGATTAATTTAATTTCAAATATTGGCGATGGGGTGAAAAGTTTTTGGTTGATCAGGGGAGAAGAAAAGATGAACAAAAGTTACCTTCTTCAAATGATGAATCAAGAAATATGATTAGTGGTTGGGGAATTCCTAAAAAGCCTGCTAAAAAAGCTGATCATTTGGATGAAGAGGGAGATGAAGGGAAAAAACATTAGATCAGATGATTGTTTGATGAATCAATCATTTAGGTAACATTTTATTGATCTCACAAATAGATATAAGTGGTTGTGAAAGAGTGTTTTAGTTTCCACATTTGTTGAAAATGGTGTTGATTGCTCTCAAACTTCAATCATTATAGCATTTACAATTCGAGACATGAACAAAGTTATGTCATTTTTTCTTATCAGGAACTTTAGATCTACCACTGTGAAAATAATTTTTTGATATTATTTTCATTCGTTTGTTTTCTTATGTTGATTTTTCTTAACGTTTATCTACTTCTATCAGAACTTTAATTTGTAAAGTCTTTTTCACTATTTTTTGTACTTAGTTACTGTGAACTATTTAGAACATGATTGTTTAAGTTTTATCAATATGGTTTCTAACAGTAGGTGTTTTACTGGTTAGTGCCTTTTCTTTTAACTTGAGCAAAATTGGCATCCATGTGGCATCCATGTCAGCTTTAATACTTATTTTAAACAATTCTTTACAAAGGTGTTAGTCATTGGAATCGTGCAATTTTTCTTGATGATCACGTGGACCTTATGGATATCCTGATTGGGAAAGTACATGTTCATTAAAAAACAATTTCAACTAATTAGGTTAAATAGCATCCAAAAAATTGAAAAAGACAATTTCTGAAAATGCTTTATAGTTTTGAGAAACTAAATTGTTCAGCAAACAAACATTTCTGTTAAATAAACATAAGATCGAAATGATCCAAACATGTTGTAGATATTAGTCCACACGTATTTTATGTACTTGGGCTCGTGTAGTATCGGTGTATCACATCTCTTCTTATATAGCTGTCAGGCCCATTCACTATGTAATTGTATATTCATATCCTTATAATGTGAGACTAGTAATTTATGGGAAAATAGATTTTGTAAAATGGTATTAGTGTTGTAAAAAAAAACGGTTCCTTGCTCGATGTTCTTATACCTTGAAGCCATCATCTTGACCATGTTAAAACCTCTGTTTTGTTTTTGTTTTGGAGTCCGATAATCCAAGGTATGTGTGTTAAATACAATTGATTTATCACTTAATCAGAGGGTACCTAGTCGATTTATCCCATAATTTAAACTCTAAAAAGCAATTTCCTCCCACGACTTATTTGGTTTGTGGGCAAGTTGAAGGAAGTGCTGAGAAGTGACATCCATGAATGCTTATGTAAAAACAACTTTCATATTATAGTCAACCTGAAGAGAAGCTATGGAACTTTTGATCATCAATATTGGAGAGATAAAGAATGTGATTGTGGGGGGGGGGGGGGGGGGGTGTTTGATCATACTTGACTGCTTCTGTGATATTTTATAATACCCGATTCCCTTTCAACAACCCAAAACTGTTTTTAGTTTTGTGTCTTTGATTCATATATTATCTGGGTTTTCTTTCTTTTGGAGAATCGAGTAAGTGTTAAAGAGGAAATGAGTCTGGTTGTGTTTTGATCTGACTTGATCGATTTGTTTAAGATCTTAGAATTTGTGTTAAAATAAAATAAAATCAGTAACTTCCATGTGTGTGGTTGGATTCGCTTGAGAGAGAGAGAGAGAGGGAGGGAGGGAGGGAGGGAGGTAGGGAGGGAGAGAGTTAATTTCTTTTTCATATATTTTTTAAATTAAACAAGTATTAAAATAAATATAAAAAATAGAAAACAATAAATTAAAAAAGCATAATTATCTGTTTAAGTTTTTTTTTGAACCAAATTCATAGAAATTTATTGATTTTGAATCTTATATGTAAGTGGAAAAGCTTTTAGACTTTATTCAAAGTTTTTTGAATACCACACGATCAATCTTACGGTCTTATCTTTTTTATATAGTTGGTGGAATACAATTTTGAGTTTTGGGAAAATCATTTGATTATAGAAAAAGAAGGGGTTTGAAGATTTTTATCTCTTTGATACCATAAAATACTTAGTTGTCTGCTTGTTTATTCCCTTTACATGTTTTAAATATAAATACATAAGAAGTGGTAAGGGTACATACAATAAACCTAGTCAAATACGAATTCTTTACAAAGTAAATAAATAAATGAATGAATAAATATGAATATGAATGATACGTCTAATAAATACAACATATGTTCATTTTATAGTCGAAAATAAACATGACTATACAAAGAATACTCAATATCATAATCAGAACTACTTCGGCTACAACTCTGCTTGATTTCTTAGACGTCTCGGTGCTTTGGGTTTTAGCAATAGGCTTGTTTGGAACAACACACTTAGGTATTTTCTTTTGTTCACCAAGTTTCTCAGGACTTTTAAGAAAATTCATATACCATATTGCAGAGTTCTTTGGGTACCTTGTGTATTTCCCATCATTGTAATCTACATAAAGTAGACCAAAACGAATAGAATATCCTGCTATCCATTCAAAATTATCCATCAACGACCATACAAAATACCCCTCTACCCTAACGCCATCCCTACATTAATAGTGTACCAGAGTCCGATTAGAATGAAGGTGAAGTAAAGAAAAGGATGCTACACATAATAAATCATACAATTTTTTTTAACAAAAAAGAAACAATACATTATACAATATAACTTTACCTAATCGCATCTCGGAGTTTTTGAAGATGAGCATTATGATAATCAATACGTTGAGTGTCAACACAAGCTGCGCCAATTCCGATTTGGTCACTGTTTTTGTCTGGCCAACCTATATAAAATGATTTACTTGAAAATGTAATTTTTCCTATAAATTACAATGAATTAAACAACCAAAGGAAAAAAAAAATAACAAATTTGATTACCATTTTCTGTTATGAAAATCAATGGATCTCCATAAGTACGTTTTATGTGCTGCAGAATTTTGTAAAACCCAAGTGGATAGGAGTACAACCAGTCACTGCCTCCCTACATTTGATCAATCACAAATATTAATTAAGAAACAAAATATGACACAACCCCACACTTGTTACTGAAATTAGTTATACCTGTGGACCGATAGGTTTCCCATCAAGACCCTCTGAAGAAAAAAAAACATGTTTATTTATTACATCATAAATCGTCCGACATTTTATTCCTAGTAATCTTCCTACCATATCAAATATGTTATTAACACGTGTTACATTTAGTGACACATTTAATGAAATTAATAACATTTTACTCCACTTGTCATCATTTAATATGAGAAGGAGGATAATAGGGCTAAAATGTAGAAGGATATTTAATTTCTCGAAATATATATATACCTGGTTGTTGATGGACATTGCTATCTGTCACATAGGAGGGAACTTGACTTGGTTTTGCAGTGGTTGCGTAATAGGAGGTATAATAATTCAACCCAAGAAAATCATAAGAACCCTTGATTGACTTGGCTTCCTCTGCCGTGAATTCTGGCAAACGACCACCTGTAACATATGCTATCATTGTGTCCGGGTATTTTCCACTAAATAATGGCTCCATGAACCTGAATTTTTTGAATTATTATAGAATAATTAACAAATCTGTATAAAATACGTTTCACATCGTAATTAATGATACACGTAGGTGTGTATATATATGGACTCACCATCCAAACATGAAGTCTATGGCTCTGAGGGCTGCATCCTTGTCTTCTTGTTTCTCAGGATTAAGTGGCTCGCAAAATACCGTGTTTAGTGTAATCCCAATCTTACCACCTTGTTTTTTCTGAAAAGATTTCAGTCCAAAATGGATAAGAAATATAGATATGTCGATCCTCATGGCTAAACATGAAACTAGTTCATATATATTCATTTTGTGGGTCTTTCTTTTTAATCTTTACATGAAAGTAACCACAATGCATAGTTTAATATAAGAGTCGAAATATTTGATAAAAGATTTGAATGGGATGTAAGGTGTAGTTGGTATTCAACGAATTAAATTCAACCATATATGTATGATCCAATTCTTGAATGGGAAAAATGAAAAATACACGCAACCCACATAACAAATACATACAAACCAAAAAGCAATAACCAAAGATGAATGATATATAATATTACTTGAAATTTTTGTCGATATAAATTGACAACAGAAGCATGAGAAAGGAGTAAGTTTTTTGCTACTATATACGGCTCAGTGCCAGGATCCCCAACACCGTCTTTTCCCCTGCCAGGCGGAAATATACCATCAGCGTATCCAGACGAAGCATAAGAATGCGGTTCGTTTATTGTGATCCAATTCTTCACTCGATCACCAAATTCCCAGAAGCAAAATCCCGCATAAATCGTAAAATCGTATCTGATAATCAAATATGCACAATAATATAATATCCTGATGAGGTTGCAATTTGTTTTTCGAATGATTTAAGAGCGGTATATATATTTTATTATTATATTTTACAGGTTTACTTACATAATTTTTTCACTTAGGAAGCCCATGTATTCTTCTTCTAGGGTTTCGGGAGTGTCCCAATGAAAGAGAGTGACATATGGCGTAATTCCACAGAGTATGAGCTCATTGATTAGGTTATTGTAGTAATCAATACCTTCCTTGTTGATGCCATTGTTTGGTTTTCCTCCTAAAAATTGAACACCAAGTTATAGCTTTAACTAAACAAAATGTATATATAAGTTAGTCATTTTTTTTTCTTAATTCACCTGGAAATATTCTAGTCCATGAAATTGAGAATCTGTAAGCATTCAGACCCATTTTTTTCATCATTTGCACATCCTCCTGTTTATCAATCAAAAAACAGAAAACGGTTTGGATTAATGAAATTTTGCAAATTGATTTTTAAGAGTACACTAAGGTTACGCATGATTACCTTGTATTTAAAATAAGCATTGGTACCGTTGTTTCCATTATCACCATTAACAATGGCATCTGCAATAAATTAAAGCAAATTCTCATGAAGTTAAATGAAGAAAAAGAGCAGTGTGATCGTATTAACAAAAAAATAAATAATAAATAAATAAATAAAGAATATGAGAAAGACCGACCAGGGTTGTTGTGGCAGAAGACATCCCAAATGCTTTCACCTCTACCACCTTTAGATGCGGCACCTTCAATCTATATCATCATCAATTATCAAACAAGAATTGTGATACTCGAAACTTGGATTGAAATTGCACATGTTTTTCGGTAAAAATGAAAGTAGAAATATTTAGTCACAACTTACCACCACATTTACATTAAACTTATTTATTTATTTATTTATAAAATATGGACAAAACTTCAAAAATGGTCCATGTGGTTTCCAAAAATATCAAGTTTAGTCCCTAAGTTCAAAAAACCTCACAGATGGTCCTTGTGGTTTCAAAACTTTTAACAAATGATCTTTTTCGCTAACACCGTTAACATTTGACCGTTAAGTAAAGGGTATTTCAGTCATTTCACCACTACGGGGACCATTTATGAAGTTTGCCTTAATTTTTATATATATATATATATATATATATATATATATATATATATATATAATTATTTAATATTAAAGGGCCCCACCTCTTTCTCTCTCTCTCTCTCTCTCAAACATACACACATCCACATATGTCTTTCTCTTTCACCTCGAAAAACATTGAACCCCATCTCTATTAGAACCGATAGCTTGCCATCTGCTTCCACATATCTACTGCAATCCCTTCCCATCAGCAACCCTAAATCAGATTTAGGTAAAAAGCAACACGAACTGATTACAGAACGAGAGGCAAAATTTACTCCTAAACATGTGCAAGCTACCTTATTCCTACTATGAAATGACCGCCATTGTTTTCATTACACAACATTGTTAAGTTTCTCATCCTGGAACACAAGCAACCATGAATTGGGTTAGCGAAAATGTGTCATCGTCGTGATTTTGATGTCGCCGTGAACAGGGCCACCGTAAATGTGCCAGCGCCAACAATCTGGGTCTTGTTGGTCCAAAAGAGCCCTTTTTAGAAAGGAATTACTGGGTAAGAAAGGGTTTGTGGTTTTGATATTGAAATCAAAGATGAAAGGCTTTAGGATTTTTAGAATGAATCCACTTATGTATTGTATATGCTCGATCGAGCTTTACCCCCCAACAACCCCTTTACAAACATCGATCACCCGAGTTTCCCTTGGGTTTGGTTTTCAGACGCTCGTGTTCGACTTGTACGATCTCCAAGGAAGTCTTCTTTCTGATAACACAAAATGAAACTTGTACGATCCAAGGAAGAAGAACTACAATGTGATGTTGGCTATGATTAATGTCAAAAATAAGAAATCAAACGCCTAGTTGATCCAATCCCACATGCACCTCTTACAATTGAATCAATATTTTCGATCTCAACATTATCTCGAATAGAGAATTCCTTGTTTGTTTGACTCGAATAGGGAAGAGAAAGAGGGATTAGGGTACGGTGAGATGTAGCGGAAGTTATCGATTTCCACCATCTTCTTCATTAGCCAATTTCGTTGGTGGCCTTCTAGGAGTAACCAACATCTTCCCTTGTTCCTTCCTATGGCTTATGTAAGAGAGAGAGAGAGAGAGAGAGAGAGAGAGAGAGAGAGAAGACGGTGTGTGTGTGTGTGAGAGAGAGAGAGAGGGGGGTAGGACCCTTTAATATATTTTTTCTTTTTTTTATTTAGAAAATAAGGTAAAACTTCATAAATGGTCCCTGTAAAAGTGAAATGACAGAATTGCCCTTCACTTAACGGCCAAAAGCTAACGGTGTTAGCGAAAATAACCATTTGTTAAAAGTTTTGAAACCACAGGGACCATCTGTGAGGTTTTTTGAACTTAGGGATTAAACTTGATATTTTCAAAAACCACAGGGACCATTTTTGAAGTTTTGTCTAAAATATGCAATATTTTTGTTTTCGGTAAAAACTGCTTCCAAAAAAGGATAAATTTCATATATATCCTTGTAAACATTTAATATTACTATAATATCCTTGTAAATGTTTAAATTACGTATATATCATTTTAAATCTATAAAATTAACATTTATATCCAAACTTGTATTTCAATTATGATTAAATCAATTTAATATTAAAAACATTATTTAAAAATCAAACTTTCATATGATATTACTAAAATACCCTCCCTTTGTCTCTTTGTATATGTTTCTTAAACTCCATTGAGGCTCTGCTTTTTCTTCTAGATTCATCATCGATACACATACAAAGATGTGTATGTTTGTGTTTTGCTTGTTACCATTCACAGTTAAACGCACCATAAATCTAATTTAACTTTCTTCGTATTTAGTTTTCTTTTAATGAATAAATTAAATAACAACTCCTACTTACGTTAACTTATTATCTAAATACCAAATTCTATTTCTTTTTGAGTTTCTTCAATTCTGAAAATTACATAAAATTTATATAAATTATATTTTGCTTTCTTTTTAATAAACGAGAATTGATATTAATTTACCAAGAGAAAACTATAAGAAAAAAAAAAGTCAATAGGATTTGATATTTGTGTGTCAAATGGGCTTTTATGCATTTTTGGGTTTTTGACGTTAGATAACGATCATCAAATGATACACATAATCAAATCTCTTGTGTTTGTATAAGGATGAAGCGAAAAAAAAGCGAACATTGATGGAGTTTCAGAAATATATACACAGAGATTTCGTGAGGCAAAAAAAGGGTAATTTAGTAATATTACGTGATAGTTTGATATTTAGATAAGTTTTTAATATTAAATTGATTTAATCTTAAGTAAAATATGTGTTTGGATATAGACGTAAATTTTATAGTTTTACATGGACGTATATATAATTTTAATATTTGTAAGGATATTGACACAAAATTAAAAGTTTATAAGGATATAAATGAAATTAACCCTTCAAAAAATATACTATTGAAAATGTTTTCAAGTTATCAACACACTCAAGAAATGTTATAAGACTGTAACGAGCTCTCAAGTTTTTTATTTCCACATGTACATAGGGTTGTAAACGAACTGAACGTTCGACGAACCGTTCGTGAACTGTTCGGCGTGAAGTTCGTTTATGTTCGTTTATTTAATAAATGAATGAACATGAACAAAAATTATCGTTCGTTTAGTTAAATGAACGAACATAAACAATTGTCTTGTTCGTTCATTTATGTTCGTGAACGTTCGTTTATGATGTTTATTTATGTTCGTTTATGTTCGTTCGTTTAAGTTTATTTATATTCATCTATTTTCAATTATTTTTTATTATATTGATATATTATATGTTCGTTTATGTTCATATATGTTCAATTGTGGTTTTTTTTTTTTTTTTTTTTTGTTCGCTAATGTTTGTTCGTTTATGTTTGTTTAACACGTTCACAAACATAAATGAACGAATATGAACAAAATAATTTGTTAAACGAACGAACACGAACAAGAAAATCTCGTTCGTGTTCGTTTGTTGTTCGGCTAACTTAAACGAACGAACATGAACAAGATCTTGTTCGTGTTTGTTTGGTTCGTTTATAGCCCTATATGTACATGTTATACCAATGTATAGAAATGTCATATTACAATATTGCACTTTTAGCCAAAGTTTTAGATTTTGTTAAGAATTTGATCTCAACTTAATTTTTTGTTAGAATATATACGATCCAAATACTTTGAAAAAAAAGAATCACCTTATTATTATCATTGTTATTATTATTATTATTATTATTACAAATTTAATTTTTATAACTTTTAAAACCTTTTTACAACCTTTTTTAAGATATGTTTAAGACATTTTTTAAACTTTTAGAAACTCGGTTTTTTTATATAATCTTTTATGAACTTTTTCGTAGTTGTTTTTTTTAGTTTTTATAAATATTTTCATAACTTTCTTTATACCTTTTTACAAAGAAAGTTATAAACATGTTTTATATATAAAAATTTTAATACAACGATTAGAACTTCTTTTACAATTCTTTTGAACTTTTTTTGGGTATGCATATAATTTTTTTGAACAAAAGAATTTCTAAATGTAGTAAAAACTGTAAAAAGAAATTGTAGCAAAAAACTATATAAAAAGGTTTTAAAATATTGTAAAAAAATAGAACATTCTAATTTTGTGAGACCGTGAGATCAAATCTAAAAATAATTTTAAAATGCAAAATAAATGGAAAAATTCAAAAATTCTTTTTTTAAATATTATTTTCGGAACTTGAATTAACTAAAAAAAATAAAAATAAAAAATCTCGTTTTTTTTTTGAAAAATACGTGAAATATTTTAATAAAATATTACACTGATATATTCTAAAAAATAATTTTAAAATGCAAAATAAATGGAAAAATCTAAAAATTCTTTTTTTAAGTATTATTTTCGGAACTTGAATTAACTAAAAAAAATAAAAAAAATCTCATTTTTTCTTGAAAAATACGTGAAATATTCTAATAGAATATTACATTGTACATATTCTAAAAAATAATTTTAAAATGCAAAATAAATGGAAAAATCCAAAAAATTCTTTTTTTAAATATTATTTTCGGAACTTGAATTAACTAAAAAAAATAAAAAAAATCTCGTTTTTTTTTAAAATACGTGAAATATTCTAATATAATATTACACTGTACATATTCTAAAAAATAATTTTAAAATGCAAAATAAATAGAAAAACCCAAAAATTCTTTTTTTAAATATTATTTTCGGAACTTGAATTAACTAAAAAAATAAAAAATAAATAAATAAATAAATAAATAAAATATGTGTTACGGTCTCACAAAATATAGGTGGTCTCAAATGAACCTAAATATATATATATATATATATATATATATATATATATATATATATATATATTAAAAAAAACAAAAGTTAGACTGTATTCGACTATTCGGAACAAAATTTAAAACCTTGGCCAAATATGTAAAAAGAATATATGACTTGTTATGTAAAGTGACATGCATAAAGCATGTGGAAATACACAAAATAAGAGTTCATTACCTTTTTATAACATTTTTTTTTGTCAGCTGAAGACAATTCGAACAATATATTTTATAAACATAGTTTAAACCCTTTTATATTTGACATGTTAGTTTATTTGACTTACCTTCTACCTCTTAACATGAATGATATGAAAGAGGATAAAGAATCAAGAAATTTGTACTAAAAACAAATCAGAATATTGAGTCATTCGTATAATCAAATCATTCCTATAATCGAGGTACATAGAAAAACTAACTAGTATATTAACTTATAAGTTCTATTAACTTATAAGTTATGAAAGATAAGACACATCATGTTTTCGTATTAATAGGTATCTTCAGTTTTGAACAAAATGTTATAGTGGATGTTGGAATAACGTCCTATAATTAAAACATAAAAAAAATATATTATAAAGTCAAAACATGCCTGATATGCAGAAGTAGCAGCACCCCAAACAAAATCCGGTTTGAAATCATTGCTATGTACAAGATTTTGGAAAAGGGGAAACGTAGCTCCTATATTTTGGGTTGTTTCCATATTTTTGGATTTTCAACTTTGTAGGTTATGAAGATAAATTATGGGTTTACCATCCAATTTATACTAATGTAATGCATCCATCATAATTGACTTTATAAAAATATTTTTGAAATAAAAAATGCAACACCGAAGATTCAATTATATTAAGGTTTAAATTAAGTCGTGTTTTTTGAATTGAAAAACTGATTTGTGGGGAATAGCCGTGGAACGAGAAAACTTCAAAAGAGTAATTGAAATCTAAAAGTAACAACAGTTTTCCTAGTTGAGGGTTGAATACTTGAATATTATCTAACGTGTGATTTTTGTGAATAAATTGACTATTAGATGGTCGGTGACATGGCAGAGTTATCTATCCTCAAAGTAGACGTCAGGTGACCATGATAAATTGACATAAACAAATCTAACTTATGACCATGCATGATATTAGCATAAAAAGAATTATAATGCATAATGCATTAAGTTAATTATCAAAATCGTTACAGCTCAACAAAACTATTCATGAAATAAATATGATTTCCAAGTGAAATTAAGTAACATCATTATATCACTCCCGATCATCACCGTATTTAATCGTTTGATCAAAGCTGTTGCTAAAAGGAATACGAAGCATTAACGATAAGATTGTTACAAAATAAACAAGAAAATTTTGTGATTGATATTGAAATAGTCTTAGCTTAATATTAGACTTTTGCACTTATTTTCGTAATAAAACTCCTTATAGTGTTTTAACTAAGATACTCTCATACTCCACCTTTTTATAAGATAATAACCATTACGTGTTATCTTTGCCTTGTAGATTAGATCTCTTTATAAATAAAGTTTGTGATAAAATGAAAAGGTTTTCGGTTGAATTAACTTTTGTTTTTTTCTAAAATTTCTATTAGTTTAATCGGTATCAAAATAAAATTAAAAAAAATATAAATATTTAAATTAACTTATATGGTTATTAGATGTAATAAGTTGATAAATTATTTTTTGGCATTCAACAATTTCCGATTATATATGTTAAACTAGTAGGAAATCCATGCTTCGCGTGGGTCAGAAGTTCTAGTTGGAAAGTTAGCGACTTCATTATATTATATTCCCTCCGTTTCAAAATTATAGTCCATCTTTCATTTTTGATTTGTTCCAAAATAATAATCTACTTCTAAAATTAAACAACATTTTTACCAAAATACCCCTTATTATTACTTAAACAAATAACCATTTAATTGACAAAACTGTCATTTTATTGTATAAAATTAATGGTACTTAATGTTTTTTTAATCTGTATGTGTTTTATCTATATACAATAATTTTGGGACAAAAGAAGTAATTTTATAATATATATCAGATGTTCAAAAACTGATGCATCATAGCAACTATGCAAAACATGAAACATACATTAATAAGAATTAGGAAAGAAGAAGCTGAAAGTATGTTTATATTTCTTACATGAAAGCCAAAAATCTATAACCCTATTTTCATTTTTGCCCTCATGGAATTTAAAAATAATAATAATAATAATAATAATAACATCCATTAGTTGGACGAAGACGTAACCTAGTTAGTTATATAAGACGTAACCTAGTTGGTTATACAATAGTGAATTCAAACACTATATATCCACACAACACCTAAAATAGGGCATGCCATAATCAAAGCATAATTACCTTTACCAGTAAAGTGTCCCATACATCTCGTGCCTCCTGTCTTCAGTTCAGCCAAATAGCTGGTATGGTGATGCTACTACCAGAAAATCTTCACAATAAGAACTGCGGCAACTGCTATATTTCTTTGGACATGTGATGCTTGTTCTTACTCCTTCTTTATCATACAATGGTACTTACAATCACTTTGGCACCATTCAGGGTCAGGGTGTCAACATCATACAAGTCCTGAAAGTAAACAATAAACTCTTTTGAGATATAACAACAAAATAAAGAAATGTAGTTGATCATTCTATTCAAGAATAAATATAATTCTTTCTATTTGACAATGTTGATTTGTATTTGGGCATGTTTTGTTTCATTCAAAAAAAACTGTAAAATGTCACATTTTTGTTATTAATAACTTCGTCATTTTAGTTGAATCAAAATGTTATTTTGTAATAGTTACCAAATATTTTTTTAATCTGGTTTTTATATATATATATATATATATATATATATATATATATATATATATATATATCCTTTGTTTTACTTTCCCATTTTCCAAGAAATTAGGTTATACCTTAATGAACTTAATATATTAGAACTATATCATGTAAGTAAGATAAGCTCAAAATGGAACCATTATTTGAAAATTTCTGACAAAAAGAAAAAAAAATAAACAAACATGTTTTATTTATGTAAGGTTTATGGATGATGAGGATAGGTTTTGGAGAAAAATCATCCACATCAAAAACTTGTAACATCCCGAAATATCAAGAGTAGAGTTGAAGGGCTAAAAGAGTAAATTGGGAAAGAGTGACTCGGCGAGTCCATGTGCGGACTCGGCGAGTAGAGTCGCGACTTGGTTGCGTGTTAAGTCGCCGACTCGGCGAGTCAGTGTAATGGACTCGGCGAGTAGGCGCTGAGTGGAGAAAACCCTAATTCTCGGGGTTGAGCCTTATATAAAGATCACTATGTTTTCCTCCCAGCCTCTTTATCACCCCTTGAGCCCCAGAAAACCCTAAATCACGGAGAAGCACCATTGTTGAGTGGATTGGAGCTTGGAGAAGTAATGGTTGAAGAAATTTTGGGAAGATTGAAGGCTTGGAGCAAGGGGCTTTGCTTGGATTCGAATTTCATTGCAGTTGGGGCATCACTTAGAGGTAATATCTCATTATTGACCTGTTGTTATGTTGTTTCTTCATTTTGGGGTTTGTGAGAAATTGTCTATGGATGAAATGGGAAGTTTAGAGGTTAGATCTGAGGTTGCTACCTCAGATCTGGAAGGGAGAAGAATCAGAGAGCATGAAAGTCCCTGTGTTGGAGTGTTTAGTGAAGCTTACATGTCCCAAACCCTAGCCCCAATGTGCAAACGGCTTAGATCTCTTTGGATTCACGTAAAGTTTGCCACTTTACGTGATGGATGAGTGGTAGGAGACTAGATCTATGTTTTGGATCAATTGTATGGCCTGAGACGCTTCTGTATGGATTCAGACCGGTGGTACTCGACGAGTCACATGGGGCGACTCGATGAGTTGCTTGAAGATGGCCTGGAACTCGACGAGTTGGAAGAACAACTCGGCGAGTAGGTTGAAGATAGCCTTGGACTCGACGAGTCCATTTGGACTCGGCGAGTCTTGTCGAAGAGTCCCAAATATTCTCTAGTTGAGTCGAGAATCGGTGAGTCGAGGGATGACTCGGTGAGTCGTGTGCGAGTGGACTCAGAGTTGTTGGACTCGGCGAGTCTCGGGGTGACTCGGCGAGTTAGGTCGCAGATTGAGTGAAGTTCTGATTATGGGAACTCGACGAGTCACAGGGTTGACTCTGCGAGTAGGGTCAGTCAGGGGTTGACTTAGACTGAGGACTTTGATTTCGACCAAGGGTTGGCCGTTGACTTTTAGGGTTTGGTCAGCGAGGTGGCCTTTGGGCCAAGAGAAAGGTAAAATAGTCTTTTACCCATAAGAGGGTGTTATGAGAGGATTTATTCTAGTCTCGAGAGTTATATTCATGAGAGTATTTTCCTTACGTGTTAGGCGGTGGCGAGTTCGAGATTCAAGTGTGGGGATATCTGCTTTCTGCTTGCCAGGTGAGTCTTCTCACTATACTTTACCTTGAGTAGGTAACCAGAGTTATGTGATTAGAGTATTTGTATGCTATATGTACGTGATGTGTTGTACTGCATTATTTCTATGTGATTTATGCTGTGCATGTTTATAGAGTTGGAACCGGAAGGTTCCCAGAGTTAGAACCTGAGGGTTCACAGAGTTTGGGTGCACGGACCCATAGAGTTATAGCCTCGAGTGGCTAATATGTGTTATGTGTGGTATTTTGGGGAACTCACTAAGCTTCGTGCTTACAGTGTTTTGTGTGATGTTTTTCAGGTTTCTTTCAGTATCACGGGACGGCACCGGCTTGATTGTACACACCAGAGAAAGAGTCATATTTTGGAGGATACTGGTTTTCTATGCAAGTGAAAATGGAGGTATGTTTTGTAAATCGACTATGAATGAGATTTTAAACAAGTGTTTCTAAGAATAAAATGATTATTTTAAATGAAAATTTTGTCTTGAAATTTACGGTGTTAAGTGATCAAATATCAACTTTGTTGTAGAACATTACTTGAATTCCCCTACACGGGAGTCCATCTCTTGTGTGGCTTGGATCATCACCATGGACATTCCTATGAATGCGTCTTGTCGAACAAAACCAACCCCATCTAATAGAAGGGGTTGGAGCACCGATATGGCATTGTGTGAGCAGGTACCAGAACATGAAATCCCTAAGGTCATAGCCACCCCATATCGAAGGTGGGGATCATACGACTGTGAAAAAGACGAGACCAGGTGTGTGGTCTGCAGTAATTATTAAAGTTACTAACTACCACAACAATTATGGAATGTGGTATATAGAAAGAGAAAGAACAAAGACCTGTTTCGGTTCAGAGCAGAGGACAAACCCGAGGGCTAACACCACAGTCCTTCTAACATCATCACTCGCGTCTGAAATAGCAAAATGCAGAAGTTGTTGGATTGCCTTTTTATTTGTTGTCCCATTGTATGCTAATGCCAATGCATAGATGTCCCCGCATCTTATTATCGGGTCTCCATCACGGATCATGATATCAACCATAGTCACAGGAGCCACTCATGTGGTCACGTACCACGTTTTGAACGTTCCGTACCCAAACGGGGTACAGAGTCGATCCCATTGCATGAGTCGATCCCAACGCCATGCAAAACGTTCTCTGGTACGGCTCCTTGGCAATCCAAACAAGCAACCGGTATGATGACAGGAACGCATTTCCGTCGAATTGGATTGCAGCAATTCGCCGATTGGGTCGGCGATTGCAAAAAAAAAAAACCGGCGATTGGATCACCGATTGGGCAGGAATGGTAATGTCGGTTCCAAAAAGTAATGACAATTTGTCTGATTCCTCGATACCAAGTACGATTAGCTTATTAAATCAGGCCCTTGTCACCATAAACTTCAACTTCTCAATTAGATGATTCTTGCATTCCACTATAACATCGACTTCCATTAATACACTTGCCGATTTCTGCTTTTCACCTTGGCAATGGCAAGGCTAGTATTCATGTATCAGATAGTGAAACAGAACCATAGGAAAATTTTGTTAACATTGGTGAGAACGGGGACATAACAGTAAGTGCAACAGGAAGCAAAAAAAATGATAAAGAAGCTGGCAAACCTCTTTTAGAAGAAGTGACTATGGTTGGTTCGGGTACTAGTAAGAATGTTGGTGGATCAAAACAATGAATTTGTAACCATTGCAAAGTAAAATATACAAGCTCATACACTAGGATTCATACACATTTCTTTGATGCTCAAGTTGGGAAGACGACATAAATTAGATTTTTAGCTATGATTAAAGATTCATCCAAGCTACAACGAAACGAATTTCAAGCAAGGTGAAAGAAGTCGGGAGCGGAGGTGTGTCAAGAACTTTAAAAATTCAATCCTTTCAAAAAATACACCATCAAAAAAACGACTTGAGTATGCTTTTGGTGTCATGGAGCGAAATATGATGGACATCAAAATCATGAGAGGCTTGTATGCTAATGGTATCTCATTCAATGTCTTGTGGAATCCTCAATTCACTGAAATGATACAAGCCATCAAGAAGTCACCCATGGATATAAACCTCCATCTAGTGAAAAAGTAAGAACCGTTTCGCTAGATGAGTGTTTGAGAGATATTGATAAAGAATTAATACTGGTGAAAGATACTCGGTACACTCAAAGTCTTTCGATTATTTCGGATGGATGGTCTAATGTCAAACATAAGCCACTTCTCAATGTTGTTGTCGTCAATGCTCGTGGTGCAGTGTGTATGTATGTGGAAGATTATCCGGGGGTCGAGAGAACAAGAGTGGCAAAAAAAAAGATGGGTTTAGTGATAGCCGATACACTTTCAACATCATCCCAAAACGAATCATCTTTAATTGCATCACATACTTTTGCCCTATTAATTCTCGTATTTTCATCCCTCCATTTAACCCAATCTCTCCAAGAATTAAGGACTATAGTTGTGGCAATAGTCTCCCTACACCCCATAATTCTTTTTAAAATAATATAATAAAGTATTTCACAATTGCTTTTCCCCTCTATAGGTATCACTCATCCAATAAAATTTTTGTGCCATATCTTTAAAAATCAAGTTTAAACTATGAATACCAATTGAAGCCGTTGGTCCAAGTAATGTCTTACAAATGGTGACGGACAACACGGCTAATTGCAAAGCCACCGAACGCAAGATCGAAAAGGTATTCATAGTTTAAACTTAATTTTTAAAGATATGACACAAGAATTTTATTGGATGAGTGATACCTATAGAAGGGAAAAGCAATTGTGAAATACTTTATTAACCATACTCATACCTTCTCGATGTTTTGTGAAAATTCAAAACTAGATTAATTATGGGGTGTAGGGAGGCTATTGCCTATAGTCCTTAATTCTTGGAAAGATTGGGTTAAATGGGGGGATGAAAATATGAAATTAATGGGGCAAAAGTATGTGATACAATTAAAGATGATTCGTTTTGGGGATGATGTTGAAAGTGTATCGGCTGTCACTAAACCCATCTTTTTTCTGATGGTGAAGGCCCTAAAATGGGTGAGATTTATGAGGATGGATAATATGATGAGAGAAATCAAAGACATATTGCAAGATAGCCAAATGGAGAGAATATCATAATGAGGTAAATATTCACATGATATTAATAATTGGTTTTAAGTACTTTTAACAAAGTTTGGTTATTTGTTCACTTCATTGACATATAAAATTTGTGCAAATTCTACATCTTCTTCTTGAGCTATATCGGGATACGGAGCCTAGCGATTTGTTTGCTATATGTCGATTACTTATGTTTTTGGAAAATCCGGATGATGTTTCTACCCTCTTAGAAACACATTTACGACCCGTGATGATTTAATGATTGGGTATCAACTTGCTTTTGATGTTGTAGAGATTGAGAGTTTTTTTTGTCACTTGTGCATGATCAGCTCTCGGATCCAAATGTAGTAGGTGAGGATATATGTTGTGAAAAGCATGCAATAATCAAAATGATTTTGTCTGGGAATATTTCAAATGGGTTGACCCGACTTTTCTTACACCACGATTCAAAGTAAGTAACAAACTTTTTTTTTCTAATTATGGAAAAGTTTTTGTTAACAAACAGGGCAAATCCATACATCATCAAAAGAATAGTCTGGTCAGTGGCTATGAAAAATCGTGCTTGACATGGTGCAAGCATCTATACGCATGCAGATACTTCTTTGGATGGCTATTTTGCAGAAAACCAGGTAGATAGTTTTATGTACAGAACAATAACATACATGGTTTGCATGATTAATTAATTTCACCAAAAGATTGTTGTTGCTATTGTTATGTTAGAAATGGCTGGGCGTGGCAAAAAGGTGAGCAGAATTCAACACGGTTGCTGGGCTTGGTGTCATTTATTAGGGCAACTCAGAGAAATTACAATCTTTAATGGACATAGTTGTTAAGAGTTTGGTTGGGCCTCCTTATGTCCAAAGTGGTGCCCTATATGCTCTAGGGTTTCTTAACACAAATGATGATGAAAAAACCAAAGGATTCATAATAGATATCCTTAAAGAATCAGAAATCGAGGTTTATATTTCCCATCACTACTTACTTGCAACAAATCAAAGTAATTCCGTATGCTAAACCTTGTTTGGTGCAGGTTGTCTGGCATGGAGCTTGTCTTGGTTTAGGCTTGCTAGTACTAGAAAGTGCTGATGATGATACATACGATGAGATATTAGGTGTTGTCTCCTTTGTAAGTGTAGGCGGTGATGGTACAGGTGTTGCTGATTTAAGGCTTGCTACCAGCATCAGTATTGGATTGGTAAATACTAGAATTTTAAGTGAGAGGACATACGAGATGGTTGCACGTACACGTGAAACACAACATGAAAAGCGGATAACGTATGTCCTCTCACTTAAAATTTCAGCATTTACCAATCTAAGACTGATGCCGGCAACAAACCCTGAATTAGCAACACCGATACCATCACCGCCTACACTTACACAGAAGGCAACATCCAATATCTCATCGTATGTATCATCATTTGCACTTCCTAGTGGTACCAAGCCTAAACCAAGACAAGTTCCATGTCAGACAACATGCACCAAACAAGGTTTAGCATAAGGTGTTATTTTGATTTGTTACAAGTAGTGATGAAAATACAAACCTCGATCTCTGATTCTTTAAGGATATCCATTATGAATCCTTTGGTTTTTCCATCATCATTTGTGTTAAGAAAACCCGAGAGCATATAGGGCACCACCTTGGACATAAGGAGGCCCAACCAAACCGTTACTAGCTCTATCCATTAAAGATTGTACTTTCTCTAAGTTGCCCTTATAAATGACACCAAGCCCAGCAACTGCGCTGAATTCTGCCCACCTTTTTGCCATGCCCAGCCATTCCTAATAGAACAATAGCAACGAAAACAATATTTTGGTGAAATTAAATAATCATGCAAACCATGTATGTTATTGTTATGTACATAACACTGTCCACCTGATTTTCTTCTAAATATTTATCCAAAGAAATACATGCATGCGCATAGATGCGTGCACCATGACAAACACAACTTTTCACGGCCACTGGCCGGACTACTCTGTTGATGATATATGGATCCGCCCTGTTTGTTAACAAAAACTATTTCATAATTAGAAAAAAAAATTGGTTACTTACTTGGAACGGTAGTGTAAGAAAAGTCGGGTCAACCCATTTGAAATATTCCCAGACAAAATCATTTTGATGATTGCATGCCTTTCAGTATATATCTCCTCCCTCACCTACTACATTGGGATCCGGGAGTCGATCATGCACACGTGACAAAAAACTCTCATTCTCAATCTATACAACATCAAAAGCAAGCTGATACCCAATCATTGAACCATCACGACTCTCCGGTCATAAATGTGTTTCTAAGAGGATAGAAACATCATCCAGCTCTCCCAAAAACATAAGCAATCGATATATAACGAATCCCGAATAAACAAGATTCATCCAACCCGAAATCTGACCCTAATAGGACATGCGTATGATTTAAAAAGCTTATTAAGTTCAAGAGCTTTACCTGATGAGCATTCTTTCAACCATAGCTTCAACCCTTTGGTCCACATTAGCAACTTCACCTAATTCGACTGCCTTTCTTTTCATAGTAGCATACGAGAATAAGAAACATCATGTCAAAACCAAAATTTTGTTTTAATAGTAGCAAACACTCCATAGACCACTACTTATACTTTAAAAGGTATAAACAGCTATACTTACTGGTAAGTGTCTGAGCAAAATTTGACTTTTTAGAAAAATCAACTAAGTTCCCTGCATCTACAAAACACAAAAAACTGATCTAAAGCAAACAAATAAATAAATAGAATAAGTATATATGTATGTATGCATTTGTGCAACGAAATCTTATGATTCAACCAGGAAAAAAGCTAGGTTAGACACAAGAACATAAAACTAGGGTTTAGAACGCAGGGTGAGTGAGTAGAAGAGGGGGCGGTAGTGGTTCAGTGTCGAAATCGGGTTTTGAACTAGGGCTTTCCAAGATGCATGGTTTTTACGGCGTCAGATAGAGGCGAGAGGGAGGGTACTGCGGCGAAGTTGGAAAGGAGGTGTGTTTGGTTCGCAAATGGCACTAAAGGGAGGGAGGGGCAGGAGATCAGTGGAAGGAGAGAAGTGAAGGAAGGTCAGACTGCTGGTGGTGCGGCTCCTCCCAATTTGATTAACGATGGAAGATAGGGTGCACGGGTTAGAGGGCGGCGGCGACGGAGTCACCAGAGAGACAGACGATAAGGAAGATGAGAGAGAGAGAGAGAGGAAGAGAGAAGAGGAAGAGGATCGTACCTGGTCGGCGACAATGGTGGCGTTGGTGTGAGCTGCCGGTGGATGTCGGTGTTCTTGGGCTACGTGGGTGGCTTCGCTACGATTTGGGGAAAAATATTTCTGGCGCTTAGTTGACGCAACAATGCCGTTTGCTAAAATTTGAAAGGGAAAATGACTCTTAAGGTAATTAACTTTTGTGTTTGTACTCATTTGGTCCCTTTCCTTTTTTTTTTGTATTCAATATATCATTGAACTTGTTGTTTGCGTTCACCATAACCCTTTTGACCGGCTTTTAACCTGTGATAGTCGGTCAAAGGGTTATGTTGAACACAAAGAACAAGTTCGATGGTATATTGAGTACAAAAAAAAGGGACCAAATGATAAAGAACTTAACGGTTGGTTACCCTCCTGAGTCATTTTCCCCGAAAAATTAAATGAAATTAAATTTGCAAAATTATCAAAGATTGCAAACTTCTTTGGCTATAACGTATATGAAGAGCGTTTCAAATGGGTAACCTTGTTAAAACATGGTCTACGTTATGCTTATTGTGGTTAGCTGTCAACATCTCTCTGCAAAAGGATATGACTGTGTATCAGAGGTATATTTATCAGCATAAATGTTTACCTCAAGGTATATTATGGTGATGTGTCTACAAAAGCAGCATGATATTGTATATATTGATGTTGTATCTTATCCCATGAATTCGATCTTAAAGCTAAGTAAACTCATAAATCACAGCACTTGTGATTCCACTCGTTTGTAGAGTTGTCTACAATCCATGATACGATAAATCATTTGATTGGAAATGTAAATGTAGTCATGAAATGCGTCTGATTAGTCAAGATTTCCCTAATAAATAGTCAAGTGCATTATAAAGTTGTACATGTATGAATAATGTTTTTTCGTGGGATATGTTTTGAAGAGAAGCAATAATGAATCTCATAAAGTCATTAATATCAGTAGGGGATGACGTGAGATTTGCTGTAAATGAGTAAAGGGAAAATGAATCAGGAGGGTAACCAACTGTTGCATTTGTTCTCATTTGGTCCCTTTCCTTTTTTTGAATTCAATATACCATCGAACTTGTTGTTTGTGTTCACCATAACCCTTTGATCGGCAATCACAGGTCAAAAGTCGGTCAAAAGGGTTATGATGAACGCAAACAACAAGTTCGATGGTATATTGAATACAAAAAAAAGGAAAGAGATCAAATGAGTACAAACGTAAAAGTTAATTACCCTCAACAGTCATTTTCCCAATTTGAAATCAAATTTTCGTTTACAGTCGAATTGTCTCTTTTATCCTCTTTTTTTTTTTTTTTTTTTTTTTTTTGCCATATATCTAATTTAATATCCAACATGGTATTTCTTTAATTTTTTTAATTTCATTTAATCTATTTAGTGTGTGTTTGGTATGAAGCTTTTGGAAGTGTTTGGGAGTTTCTATCTTTTAGCTTTTAACAAAACACTCTAGTTTAAACAAAAAGTTTCGTTTGATAGCACAAGCGTTTAGCTTTTAATTTAAACAAAACGCTCAAAATATAAAAGGTACTTCATGTAGCTTTTAACAAAACGCTACTGATTTTTTAAAATAAATTTCCATAATTACCCTTAAAATTATATTTATAGATTTATTTATTTTTAATCAATTGTTCTTTTATGTAATTTCATATATTTCAAAAGTTTCCAATTATTTTTGTCAAACACTCGTATATGATATAACAAATAAAATTTACACCTTCCTGCTACCAGCTACCCGCTACACATTACCTGCTACCTGCTATCTACTACCAGCTACCCGATTCCAGTTAACAGCTACTTTTGCTAAACACGCTCTTTGCAAATTGTGTTTTTTTGGCCTTGTTATTAAATCTAAACATATAATAAAGAAAATAAGAAAACTTAAATGTCTCCATAAATTCTCACATAATTTGTCAGTTAATGTATTAAATTCAATTTAAACTCAAATCAATATTTCTACTTGAAAAACATAATTTTTAGCTAAACCCTTTTAAAATGCATGATAATTTGCAGAAACATTGCAAAAATTGGTTTATTCACAATTAATATTGATATTCTTTCCAAATTCAGTTTTGTAAATTATTAAGCATGTAATTCTTAACAAAATATATTAATTATTAAAAAAAATTAAAAAATAAAAATAAAAAAATAAAAAAACTCGTGTATTACATGAGTCTCACACCTAATATATAACCATTAATTAATCAATGTTCCATATTTATCCACACCATTATTGTAATTGAACAAAGATAAGAACGAAAAACCAAGTAACAATGGATAGAGGGGCATATTGGTATTTTAGCAATCTATAACGAGGGAAACTGTATTGATAAACAAAAAATATTCTCTCTTTCTCATCTTACACTTTTCAAGGAAAAATTATGCAGACAAAGGGGGATTCAAAAACGTTTTTTGTTTTTCGTCATTATCTAAAAGTTTGTAAAAAAAATTAGGGTTTATAAAGCTTCCGATTTAAAATTTGTTTATGCAACCATATGTTATATTAAAGTGTTAATACCAAATTTTAGTTAAGCTTACACCAAGAATAATCTACCTTTCTACATAGAATTTTATTACACAGTATTGGAATATTAATATCCTTGGTATAACCATGTAACATTCTAGGTATGGACACGTATTCGGTCCTTCTAGCACGGGACACATTCTTAATGACATATAACAAAATCTTCATAACGTATCGAAGAGGGAAAATGTTGCAATACAACTGTTCAATCATGCATTAGCAAATTCTCGAGAGAATGTCGAACTCTAAAAACAAATGAAGGGGTTTGAAACATCTAACAAGTTACCACTGTTGATTAAAACGTAACCGATCCTTACCCACGTATCATTAAACACCGTTCTTCGATGGTTTTCTCTCACATATGGTTATTACCACTACGTGACATCTCTCTCTCTCTCTCTCTCTCTCTCTCTCTCTCTCTCTCTCTCTCTCTCTCTCTCTCTCTCTCTCTCTCTCTCTCTCTCTCTCTCTCTCTCTCTCTCTCTCACACATCATGGACCCATTGCTTTTAAGATTTAATGCATGTAAATACATAGTTTATTTGTTAAACAAATCAAATATTTATTAAATTCGTTAATTTGGCCCCCATGTTTTGAGTTTTAGTTCCTAAATTTTGGTAATTAAATAAGAAATTATGTAACTAATCAACCAAAATTCCATAAAACCACTCAAAAAATCAAAGCAAATCTTATTTCATTAGGAGACCAAGTAAACTAAGAAACTATATTTCTTGAAAATTTTATTAAAAATACAAAAGCGTAATGAATAATGAAAGTTACTACTCTTTTAAATCGACATTTGCAATTACAGAAAGTAAACAATAAACTTTGAAAAAATTATTCCGACAGTCGGAAAAAGGAACGTGTCGTCCCATAACTTCCTACCTCATTCACTGGTGGTCGTTATTCTCCATCGGTCGCTGCACCGTTCGCAACTTCTGTAGGATTTCTCTTTCCTTTCCGTTGGTTGTCGTCTCGCATTCGCCATGTGTCCGAACGGCACCTCTGACTTTCGTTAGCTACCGCTCCCCTCTTCAATCTCCTTACCGTCGGAGTAAACTTACTAAACTATATATATATATATATATATATATATATATATATATATATATATATATAACTTTATAACTCGTAGGAACCACGGTTATAAAATTAATTAAACTTTTATAGTAATATTCAAAATTATTAATCAATTATTTTAAATAAATTATTAATTTAAGAGATATTTTTTTAGTTATGTGAAATTATAATCGTTGATTCAAATAAATATGTAAAATTAAATTTTAATATATATTAGACATTTATTATTTGTGAATTAATGAAAACATTAATATAAAATTTAAATTTTAAATTAAAATAAAAATAGAGAATAAATACATTGACAAATAACATCACATTAATGAGGAGGTCTAAAAAATAAAAAAATGAAGAACTAATATATTAACAAGTGGCAACACATTAATTAAAAGGTATAATATGATGACACATTGCAAAAGAACTACTTTTTTATTAGTATATATATATATATATATATATATATATATATATATATATATATATATATATATATATATATATATATATATATATATATATATATATACACACACACACGATACTCTTTTTTTTAATCTCCCTTTCTTTATTTATCACACGAATTTCAAACTAATATAGGAAAAGTGATAGTATCGAGATATAATAGGTTTGGACGTAGACTAATACTATACTCTAAAAGCTCACAAGTATTATTTAGAGTAAATTACTGAAATCGTTTCTATGGTTTGGTTAAAATTGTATGTTTGGTTTCTAATTTTTCTTTTGTACTTGGATCGTCCTTATGATTTGATTTTGTTGCGTTTTTCGTCCCTTACATATATAAAGATAGGGATCAAATATGCAATTTTGACCAAACAATAGGGACGCAAAATGCAACAAAATCAAATCATAGAGACGATCCGAGTACAAAATAAAAATTAGGGACCAAATATGTAATTTTAACCAAACCATAATGATGATTTCAATAATTTACTATATTATTTAATTTTTTTTAATAAATATTACTTTACTGTTTAAACAATATTTTTTCTTATTTGCTAATGAAATACTTGCACTTCTTGTAAAACATCTTAAACATTAGACAAAGATAAATAATAATAATAATAATAATAATAATAATAATAATAATAATAAAACAAATATGGAAACACAAAAATATGTATACAAATAATTTACGAATTTTAAAAATACAAAGGAGTGAAATAACCATTATACTAAATAAAACAACTTTTGTTTTTGTCAAAAAATAGTTTTTTTTTAATATATTTGTTTATTGTTATTTTGTTTTATCAATGTTGTATGTCAATAAGAAATAA